GTAGTGGTGCATTGTGACCCTAACCCCTTAACCCTATTTAGAAAAAAATAATAATTTATTGTAAAAAAAAAATTTTCTTAATTACAATTTTGTAAATAAATCATGTAAATATTTGCGTTAATTGGAAAGAAAATAGTTAAATGGATAAAGATAGAAAAATACAGCAAAACAGATGGTAAGATAATAAAAAGAATCTTTGAGATGGGATTCGCATCGAAACCTTTTTTGAGCCGTAATCCTGTGCTGTAACCGCTTGGGACCTCATCCAGACATATTGGCTTTCTAGATTATGGATGTCCGGGGATTAATATGTTGATCGAAGGCAGCGGGGGAGTGTGAGCATTCATTGCAGTTCCGGTTTCATGAGGAGTGGGGCGGCGATGGGGTTGTTGTAAGCGGGCTCCGTGCGTGGTAGGTGTGGCAGCAAAGTGGTGGTTAGTGCGAGGGACAGGAGGGGGGTGTACGTGCTTGCTCGGAGGCGGTGTCAGGTTGTAGGGAAGTCTTCGGAGTGTGCAGTGGTTGTCGCGGTGGTGGTGGGGCGAGTAAGAAGGCGTGGTGATGAAGGAGAGAGAGTGTGGGGTAGTGTTGCGAGTCTGCGGTGGGAAGGGAGCGACAGGGGGAAGAGAGGGGTTGGGTCAGGCGTCTTGGTGCGGTGTGGGTGAGCGCGAGGGGGGGGGGGGAGGGTGGGTGTGTCCTCAGTAGAGATGTGTCTTTAGGGGTGGGTGTGTGGGAGCTGCTGTGGGGTGCGCACACGTGGGGCGGCTGGGGGGGGTGTGACCGTTGTGGACTGTCGAAGTTGTGGCGACTCGGGGGGGGGTTTTTGATGGGGTGTGTTCGGGGGCTTCGGGGGCGGCGGGATCGAGCACTAGGTAGCGAGGGGGTACCGGTGAATATGTAAGAGTTGGATGCATGGGGGGGTAGTTGGTTGCGAGGGCCGGTTGGTTAGAGGTTTTGGGGTTCGGTCGAATTCTGTTTGCGTATTGGTCGCGTGCGCGAGGTATACCGTTAAGTTGAAGAAGGTTGGAGGAGTTGTTGGCCCCGCCTGGTCTGGGTTTTGGGGGTGGGCGGCCTCGTTTGGAGCGTGGGTGTGGCTGACCTGGGGGTTTGTGACGGGGTGGCGCCGGGGGGGGGCTGATCGAGGCATCCAGGGGACGTCGGTGTTTCGGAGTTAGCCGCCCGGCTACGGTTGCGGGCCCGACTTGTCGTTGAAGGATCCGGGTACGGTCGAGTGGCCGGTGGTGGTGAAGGAGTGTGTGGGTGGGCGCGGCAGACGTGTAGGACGAGACGACGTGGACCGGGGGTGGACGGCGACGCAGTCGGGGGGTGGCATCGATGCGAGTGTCCTGACAGAGGCGTGTGCGGAGTGAGTCGAGCTGATGGGTGCAGGGGGGATGAGCCTAACAAACCATTGGGTATAAGGAGCGTGAGATGCCCGAGCAGCGGGTGTAGGGTGTCGTGGTGGGAGGTAGGAAGGGTGAAGGCGTGAGGTTGAAGTGGTGGGGTTGGAGGTGTGCGGGGGGAGGAGGAGGTTGGTTCGAGGTGGGTTCTGTCCGCCGATTGTTGCGAGTGGGATACGCTAGGGCGGCGTGTGGGAGGGTTGCTGGGGGGAGGGTAACAAGCGAAGTGTGTCGGGGTAGAGAGTGACAGAGGGTGAGAGACTCGGTGTGCTGGGGTGGAGGACGCTGCGGGTGGGTGATTGCGAGCGGACTTCGCGGGAGAAGGGGGAGGTGGCCAGGGTTGGGGCTCGGAGACTAATCGGGGTTTTTGTTAAAAGTTCGTTTTCGGTGTCAGTCGTTAACTAACAGGACAACTAGGGGCGATGCGATTAGCTGTCTGGCGCCACCCGTTATCTGTCCGATCGACCGCCGTGAGTACGAGGCGCACGCACGTTGTTGTTCGGAATCGAGTCAGCCGCAGCGGAAGATGAAAAGTTTGACCATTTGCTGCATTGAGGCGGATGGTAGTCGGCGACACGGATGTAAGAAGTGCGATTGCTGTACTGAGTGTGTCGAGTGAGTCCAAGTTCTATGCGTAGTAAGCTCGCGCGGCCGCGATAAATCTTAGTATTTTGTAAGTGGGTTTGGGTGTAGATCGGAGTGGGAGTATTGTTCGGGCTGTCAGGTGAGACTGAGTAGTGTGCAGCGGTTATTTAGTTTGTGCTGCAACAAGAAATCTCGGCAATAGCACCTGTAAAGTGGCGCTTTCGCCGAGGAGAAAATTTCAAGCAGCAGACATAAAATGCAGGGCAGGAAGAGTGAATGTAATGTTGGTAGACATGGCACGGTTTACTTGCCTATATTGTGGTCAGGTAGGCGGTAGAAAAGATGCTCGGAGGAAGTACGTTCATTGCGGAGCGTTGTAGACTACAAGGAGGGGTGAGGAGTGTGTCGTGGGTCGAATGTTTGCAGAACAGCAGTTACTGTTGTGCCGGGATTTGCGCGGAGAGTGTTTGTTGGACGGACGTCGTCATTTGGGGTCATGGTCGGGGCGGCGTCCGCGAGACGGGCGCGCGGGTGCTATTGCGCGAAGGGCGTGAACGTCATGCGAGAGGCTGCAGGCGGACCCGTGTGCTCGATACGGTATTTGATGAGGTGTTAATGGAGTGATGTATCAGAGAGGGGCGTGGATTGAAGGAGATGGTGGATGGCGAATTCGTTTGGATAGCGGTCTGCGAGCCGGGCTCTTGATGATATCGAAGAGCCAATGATAAGAGAAGGTGGAGGAGGCGGTCACGGGTAATATGGCTGAAGGACGTAGTGTGCGGAGGTATTGGAGGTGGCGAGATTATAGACGTGGGTCCAAAGGTTTAGTTTTTGGACGATTCCTTTGTAGTGATATTGCATCAGGCGTGTCCGTACCTGTGTTTCGGCGATATAAAGACAAGCCGGCGGCGGGCGTGCAGTGTCCCTACCGAGGTGCCGCTTACCGCGGAGATACATGAGGGGCGGTGAAGAACTGGGTATTTTTCGCCAAACACCGACTAGGACGTTAGTCAGTTACTGGTTGACCGGACTCGTCGAAGTGTTAGAAGCTTTTCGGGGAAACGCTCGCGGTGTTTCCGATCACATGATTGAACAAATGAATAATTGACGTCTGTTATTTACTTGCCATAACGCTTGATGACCCTCACCTCACGGCCCACCTCACGCTGGATGTATAGTAAACTCTGGTAGTATGACGTGAGTGCCAGCGCCACCATGGCCGTCTACACACGCTGCGACCGGAAGCAAAACACACTGGCCACAGTGTGGGCCGTACAACTCCGCCCACACCGAGAGGAGGGTCGCAAATTCTAGTTCATCTGATTCGGATTTTGGCAACAAAAATAAAAACAGGATTTTCAGCGGCTCATGTATCTCAGCCGTAAGGAGCATCCAGTAGCGGACTAGATATCAATTAATGTAACCAAAACCCAAGTAGGATAGGGGGTTACAACGCGAGGCTTTATACTTTTGTGCGGAGAATGCCCGAAGGTGAATCACTTCGTGCAGGTTTGCTGTGGTATTTTCAGAGCGACTATACACTTCCAAACTGGCGTTTTAATTCTCCAACACGAACCTTTCTCGCTATCTGGGAACTTACTACTGTACTCGCAATCAGATCTGTATTAAACTAATAAACCCTGTTACAAATATTCGAAGTGACGAGCGGCGATTTACTGGAGGCGCGCATTTCTGTATGACTGTGGACGCTGACTTCGGTTCTTGATAGCAAGCCGTATTCACGGACGATCCGGAGGCGCGTGCGTTTGTGCCGATCGCTATGCGACATTGCGGAGAAATGCGACGTCACAGGTTCAACAGTAATGGCGCCTCAGTAAATTCGTCGCTCGTTCACTTCGAATTTTTGTAACGAGGTGCGTATATTAGTTTAATACATGATCTATTGCGGTCACATAGTAAGTGTCCCAGATAGCGGAGAAAGGTTCGTGTTCGAGAATAAACCTCCAAGTTCTTGAAGTATCTAGTCTCGTGAAAATACACCAGCAAACTGCCCGAGTGATTCAACGTCTGGGCATTTCCTCCGCCATTATTGTATCTACGTATGGACAAAGCAGTTTGTTTTATTATGAACAAGCATAGGACAAGCCTGATCGAATAAAACTGCCGAATAAGAATCGTTCATAATAAATCCGGGAAAGTTATTAATTTTCTGACTAATAATCTTGCCGAACATCGGTATTCAGCATTATGACCGTGTACGTCTTTCTTCTCTTTATATGCTGTTTGGATGATATCTATAGGGCTGTGCTGGGTTCGGTGACCTGCCTCGACTCTTGCGACAATTGGATACAGATAACCGCGGCGACAAAGCTTTTTCAATTTCTTTTTTCGTTTAGCAAAAATATAGCGCTTGATACATATTATTTATTTGTTTTATTTTCAAGCCTAACGTCAGCTTAAAGTGTTGAGTGAGTTATGTTACTTTACTTCGTTTTTTTGACCGACTGGTGGTTTGTCACAAATGTGAATGGGAAGGCATCTTTTTTAATTGGAAGGCACACAGAAAGTGTTATGAGAATTGAGCCTGTTCAGAGTTGAACTCTTTTTGCTATCTAAAAGCTTATGACACAAGGGGTCAAGGCAAAGTGGACATATCAGGGGCATGGAAAGGGTTCACGCACCATGAATTACAATTGTAATGCTCCTCGGTTGCCAATTAAAGAATAGCTGTGCCAAATGCACAATAGAACTGGCTGGACAGGTGTATTATAATCAGGTTGTGAAAATACTAACGATTACCTTTAAAGCAATGTAGTCACACCCACCTTGGCATAAACGAGCCAACAATATAGAATTCCCTTGTAAATTTTCTTTTGGTCGATATTTTCATATTGCGACACGTGCCTACACCAACGCAAGTTGGCGTAACTTTGATACTTTACGTCGGAAACTGTTCCCGTATCATTCGCAGTACTGATTGTTAAACCGTGCTGCAATCTAAAAAAAGAAGAAAAAAGAAATTGCAAACATCTTAATTTACGCTCCGTGTTGTCCAGACTTCCTACACCAATAAAGGATATCAGCTCATGGTTTACAACGTAAAATTCAAACAACAATGTGCGCAGAGCGACAGCCGCTCAAACTGACGTGTTTACTATGCCGCGGTAGTATTCTTCTAGATAAACTCACTAGCACGAATCAAGTGCGCCCTCCTGCCACCGCCGTTCGCGCTCAGAGCCATATATCTAGGATACTCTACTAATACAGATCTAAAATCTATGATACGCTTTGCTCTACACCTACTGGTAGGTACTGATAATAAAGATACAGCTTGTGTAACGTTTAATGACTGTCGCCATTATTATCATGTTATCCATGGATATTGCCGTCGGAGCGACGAAGCGTAAGTGGTGGTGGTGGGAAGGTGTGAGGGAGAAGGGGGAGGGTGGGCGTGGGAGCGTGGTGGAGGGGGCTCTATAGCTCAAAAGCAATTCCAGTTCCTTTGTTAAGCAATCAATAAATCCGATGTTCCTCCTCTTGCAGCGTATATCAAAAGCCGTTATCAGACCTACTCTTCGACCTCGTCAGCGGAAATGTAGATTTCATGACCGTCCTTTCAATAGGTGATAAAAACGGTCTAGGTCAGCGCCGAAACAAAAAGTTTTGCACTCGGTCGGTTAGAACCATGCTCCTCAGAAAAATGTCTGATATCTGACCTTTCCCCCACTGTCCCCTTGACCCTGTGACCTCCAAATTTCGCTGCTGGTGAATAGGTTTCCTCCCACACACCGTATACATCGGATATTAAGAGCGTTAGGTTTGCAAGCCGTTGAGATTTGTGCCGATAATTCCGTTATTCTCCTCCTTGTGGATAGTAGACTCTAGGATTTTACTGCATTTACAACTGTACCTTACTGAGTATAACAAATCGTTTAGACCCACTAGCGTATTTTGTTACCAGATAACTAATTTAATTGAGTATAATTAATTACACCATCTCAAGCGCTACGAGAATGTTAGAATGGCGCCATGGACACCCGCAACCGTGTCTAGCCGCCTGAAAAAGTTGCGCATTTCCCAATTTATTTGTGCCACGTTACAGACCAGAGGGCTAATCCCAAAGCGTGCAATTATTTTATAGAACGCCTAAATGCTATTTAAGTCGAACAATGTTCATTTTTAGGACAAATTTATCCATAATATAACTGAAAAACTATATGTCGTTTATAAAATATTCAATTACTTTGCTTTTAAATTAATAAAATAGAAACACCCCGCCCGGTCTGTGAGCCTTGCGGAAGAGTGGTTCGGTTGCGCAACTTATCAGATCGTGCGCCTTGAGTTGCGGCCACCTCGTCGTTTGTAATCAAACTGTAGTCGTTAGTTTATAAACGCATTTTTGTGAATAATATTTGTAATGTGGTGATTTGAACCATGAAACTTTTTTATGGTAGGCCGTAACTGTTTAACCTAGACATTAGCATGAAAATAAGCCTAGAAACCTAGAGGTAAGCGATCCTTTAAGTTAAGGCGGATAATATTCCCCCTCCATTTGACCACATCTTGACTCTTTAACCCTTGCCCAAAATTCGACATCCAAATGCCTTTTCGCGTATCCCCCCCCCCCCACGTCGCCGAATATCAAGACCGTACGTCGGAGCGGTTAAGATTTTGTGCCCAACTGTTGACGGACGCACGGTAGCGCCTGGACGGCACGAACAATCATGCGATTCTACAAGCTGCATCTGACTTCGTCAGCTGAGCTAAAAACAGTACTGTACATTATTCATGTTGAAAACTGTAATAAAACTTCACCCATATTAAATAAAGAACTAGAGCACTCGGAGAGCACAGACCTCCACCAAGGCAGCTCAATTCTTGTCACTTGTGAAAGATTTTATTAATTAACTAAATAATATAATTGAATCCGGATGACGACCAAAATGTAATCAGATGTAAGTTACGCCGATTTCTGACGTATCCATGAAGTATTTTATTAATTGAAGTTGAATCCGATTCACTCACCAATATGTAATCAATTCTAAGTACCCCTTCTATTCTGACCTATCGCTGTAATGTTATTTAATTAAATTAAATTAATTTATAATTGGATCTGGATTTACCAGCCAAAACTAATCAGAGTTCTAGTTAGCCCATTTCTGACCTATCCTGAAAATTGTTTATCACAAATCCGTCCATAACTTTTTCAGTTAGGCTGTACACAAAGAAACCACAAACGCACGCGCTGTGCAAAAGCATAACTCCTGCCAAACCCTTGGCGGAGGTAATTATTCAAATTTGTATGGTCAGAAAGCATCTATGAACCAATCTCTACACAACAGTGAGCACTGAGAGCATCTCATAGCTCACCTGGTTTTGCGCCTGCATCTGCGCACCACAATGTAAGAAGGAAGATGCTTTGCATATCTTTTGTTCTCTCGCTCCTTCAACTCTCTCTCTCCACTTCCCCTCTCAAACTTATCTTCGTACCTCTGCAAAAGGTTGGAAAGCACAGCAGGTATATTACGAAACATCCAATGTGCCATAATACATATACATAAATGTACATTGCATATAGCTTTAAAAAAATTTTTACAATCGTGCCACAAATCAATTATTTCCAGTTAAAGCACTGCCTAATCTTTGCTCTCAACATAGTTTGCCAACCATCAGAAACAAACATAGAGGATGGCTTACGTCAATGTCAACTCGCTTTGGCTTTTGAAAATGCCATGACATTTCCAAACGTTTATACGACTAGCCCAAGGCCCATATTAATAAGATCAGGAGCGTATAATGACACAATTTACTTGTCGATGACAGAATATTTGTTCATTTATACGCCTCCTTTGATTAAGATATTATGGATGCTTAAAACGCTTTTGATTTTATTATTATACTTTCGACTAGAACTGCAGTTCTTTTATAAAATGTTTATAATTACACGTTAACAAGTTGCCGCCAGAGCGACAGCGCTCATTCTAACGTCTACTGCGCGTGACTCTGTGGTCTGGAGTGTGGGATTCTAGTAAACCCTGCTAGTTCCCAAATGTGTTCACAATTTACACGCCGAAACAGTGGAATGCACAGGGATCGCGTATCAGGAACCTTCTCAAAGAGACATGTTCGTTAGGGATCAGTTATGAAGTTGCCACGAGATGGCGCGGTAGATTTAAGTGTCTTGCAGATTAAAAGATGGAAGCTCCCATCATTACGTGAGTAGCCAAAACTATTTGCAAGACAGAATAGGTAAGCACTCGTCCATTTACCTACGCAAGCCTACAGGCTGCCAATTGCAATAGAAGGCTGCGCACTGCCTAACCCATATAACGGCAGGACAAAAAACTGCACCAACACGATGCACTGGCAGCAGCCACTGGCGTGAGTGGCATAAGTTACATGGTAAACATACTGAGCAGTTACAGGAATGACATAGGAATTATTACGATTTAGGAACATACACCTTCTTTAACCAAATTTAGCTTTTGAAATGTTCACGTTGGACATTGTAGCCTCATACATCCAGGCATTGTATAGATTTTACTAGCAAACCCGGCAGTTCAAATTCTTTCTAACAGGACAGTCAAACAATCCAAGGTTTAACCCCTCCTCTTGAAGGCGTCAAAAAGGTTATGCCGACACTTACTCTTTGCATCTGTCAGCAGAAGGCGACATTTCATGGTCCTTTCAATTAAAGCCATAAAACAGTGCCCTCAGGTCACCGCGCTGAAACAAAAAAGCTTTTTCAATCGCTCCGTCAGACCATCCTCAGAAAATTTAAAATCTGCGCCTGTGCCACTGACCTTTTGACCTGTGACCTCCAATCTTCGGCACAGTGATGGCTTTTCCTACCATGATGGCCTATACACACCGACTATCACGGAGCCTAGGGTCGAGCCGTTTTAGATTTGTGCCGCAGTATCTGCATTTCCTGCCCTATACCTTAGTTAAATGAGTGAATGTTCCCCTTCGTGTTTACAACCCTTGACTTTGACCTTTTGTACCCAGCTTCGACATCCCCAACTCGTTTCGGGAATACCCCCCCACATTCCGGATATCGTTGACCGTACGTCTGAGCGGCGGTTAGATTTTGTGCCCAACTGTTGACGGCGGCGCGTGACGCCTGCCGGCGTACGGAGCCGGAGCCACGTGCGATCAAGCGATTCTATCAAGCGCATCTGGACCTATGTCCAGATGAGCCTAAAAATCATCCAATATATAAAACCGATCAGGCTGATTTCGAGTTTAGGATATAACAGAACTGACAATGTTTACACAGTACCTGACTTTACAACCCAGCTTCCAAATGGTAAAACATGCTTGCCAACTTTGAAAGTTACTCGAAGAAAAGCTGTTTATGTTCGCTAATCGGTCACAGTGAAAAGCGCTTTTCTTAGGTATAGTAGTTATAAATCTTAGATAGCCAAGGCATCAACTTATTGTTGCTCTCACTAGGTGGTTGTGAATAGCGTTACCAGTCGTTCTCCCCACATAAGGTAGCATCTTCTCCAAGTTGCATCCTCTGCTGTCAAGAGCTCTCTATATAACCTAATGCTGCCGTGTGGCTACTTGGGCTGCTATCCTACTAAAATATTAAAGATAAATGCAAGTTTAAAATCATCTAGGATACTTTAGGGAATAATCCTAATTTTGATTACTTCAAATTACACACTAACCCACGTAAACTGCCTGGTTTAGAGGAATTTGATCAGACGAGTAATTGTATGAAAGTAAGAAATATACCTTAAATTACCCTGCTGAGGTTTAAAACATCAAAGCCAATGCGCAGCGTTTACTTTTCCAAGCACCCATGTTGAGGGCTGTGTTGACAACGAAACACGCACTTGTACGCTGGCTGCCGATTTGAACTCAAGAACTGTGATGTCATCTTCCTGCACTGGTCATCCTGCCATGAGAATAGGTAGTTCGGTCGAGTCTGTATATTTCAACCGTTGAGCAACGTTCAGCCTTACTCAGAGACATATACTACAATGTTGTACAATATGACTGTAAAATTGGGGTCTCAAACTCCTCAGATAGTTCCGGCGTGAACTAAGTGGTTGATAACACAAACTATGGTACTAAGCCCCAGACCTTGCTTTATACAATTGCAACCAAGCGATGAACGGAACAGGTCTGGCAAAGAGATGTAATATATATTTATTGATGATTACTTATGTTCTACAAATATAAAAAAATGGTCTAACTTACTTTTATACAAAAAAAACATTACAACTAGTAAATTTACATGTGCATCTTGATATTACAATAAATAGTGCAAAATGGCATACATCCACATGCTTTGAATACTTTTCTTGTTTTTCTTGAATAGTTTTTTTAATGCTTACTATGGCAGCAGTTACTTTTGGCAATATACTATTCTGATGTCATAAAAAGATGTATTACCACATACTTTTGCTCAGTGCATTGATTAGACCACACATGCAGTTTAATTAAACCCCTCAATTCTAATCGTTATAATATTTATTTAGTTTATATGTACTACTAGTACTACTGTAAATTTACATATTAACCATGTACACGCGCATACTACCTGATCATCATCTTGATGCTTTGAAAACCCAGTCCACTGCTAGATCAAACAGAATGATTTATTTGTTTTTATAAGTGCCCTGCAAATGTCAAATAGATGTATTATTAGTACAAAATTATTAATACTCTATGAAATAAATATCCTATAACAGTTACAAGTCAAAAATATTTTTGCTGGTGTTTTGCAATGATGAATAAATCACAGCTCAGTCCTCCATCAAGTCAAACTGATCTTTGTATAGCAGAGGAAGTAGTACCACTGCATGCACCTTCAAATCAAGTTATGAAAACAAATGGTCACTATTTTAGATAAAAACTTTGATCTGTCTGACTCACTGACTCGTATGTCACTTGACATCCACACTGGATCGAACTAAGCTATTCATGTTTACCACAGCTGTAATTTTCTTCTTTTTTTAAACATCACCAACACATGATACCAACAAGTGCCGCAGAGTGACAGCGCTCACCTGACGGCAGGTTGTTCTGATGCCTAAACTCACTTGGCGAAACGAATTGAGAGCACCCTCCCATCACCTGCGTTCCGCTCAGAGCATGATATCTAGGCATACTACTAATACAGATCTAAAATCATGATACCTTAGGCTTTGCTATCCGGTAGTACAGTAATAAAGATACAGCTGTGTAACTTAATGCTTCGCTATATTAAATGTTATCATGAATATGCGCTCGAGCGCGAGACGTAGTGGCGATGGTTTGAGGGAGGAGAGGGGGGAGGGGAGCGGGGGGAAGCGGGCTCTAATAGCAAAAGCAGGTTGCTGAAATCCAAGGTACTAATTCAGCAGGTGAGAACTTTGCGCCTCAAGCTAGTGAGTTAACACCATCACTAAAAAAAGGCTGCATAGTGCAGGTTGCCAGGCAATAATTATTGATAGTAGAATAGTGCAGTTACCCCATGCATGCGGTTAATTGGGGCTGGCCGCGCCATTGATTTTTGGCCTACACACACGAGCATCAGGGTTCGATTACAGTCTGCTATTTACATGGGGTGCTATCTCAGGTTGCGTAATACAGACTTGCCTTAGAAAATATATGATTTTACGAGGTAAACGCTGTGTTTCCAACAAACATATTTGCCTTATGCAATTGCAGAACTGTGCAACTGTAGGCCTCACATCCATCCAATGGGCAAAAGCAGTTCAGTCCTTGTTAACCAGTCACATCATGTTTATAACGCCTCCTCCTTGGAGGGTCAAAAGGTTAATCCGAGCACTTACTCTTCGCAGTGTCAGCAGAAAGTACAGTTCGATGGTCCTCAATAAAGCCATAATGAAGTGCTAGGTCACCCGCTGAAACAAAATGGTTTTTCAATCGCTCCGTCAGACCATGTCTCAAGAAATGTCTAAAATCTTTCGCTGGTGCCCCATTGGCCTTTGACTCGTGACTCCAATTTCGGCCGTAGTGATGGCTTTTCCTAACCATGATGCTTATACACCGACTATGACGAGCCTAGGTGAGTCCGTTTATAGTTGTGTGCGCAATTCTGCATTTCCTCCCTATACCTTAAGTTAGATGGGAATGTTCCCCCTTCTTTTACTACCCTCATTGACCATTTGACCTTTGACCCCGCCAGCTTCGAACATCCCAACTCGTTTTGACGATTCCCCCAACGTCCCGAATTATCGTGACCGTTACGTCGATGGCGGTTAAAGGATTTGTGCAAACTGTTGACGGACGCACGGGACGGACGCTCGCACGGACGACCATGCGATTCTCACAAGCTGCATCTGACTATGTCAGGATGAGCTAAAAAATGGAGATTTTGGATCATTCTTTGCTTCAAGAATTACTTAATTATGCATGCATTTAATTTCCTTGAAATGAAAATGAGATATAACTTTTTCAGTTAGGCTGTACACAAAGAAACCCACAAACGCACGCCGGTGAAAACATAACCTCCTGCCAACCCCTTGGTGCGGAGGTAATTATTTCAAATTTGTAGTCAGAAAGCATCTATGAACCAATCTACTACACACAGTGAGCACTGGAGCTCTCATAGCTCACCTGTGTTTTGCCTGCATCTCGCACAATGTAAGAAGGAAGATGGCTTGATAATGCTTTGTCTCTCAGCTCCTTCAACTCTCTCTCTCCACCTTCCCCTCTCAAAACTATCTTTGTACCTCTGCAAAAGGTTGGAAAGCACAGCAGGTATATTACGAAACATCCAATTGCTATAAACTATACATAAAGGCATGTACATTGTATACTTTAAAAAATTTTTACAATCGTGCCACAAATCAATTATTTCCAGTAAAGCACTGCCTAATCTTTGCATCTCAACATAGTTGTGCATCCATCAAGAAACAAACATAAGAGATGGCTTACGTCAATGTCAACTCGTGGCTTTTGAAAATGCCAATACATTTCCAAAGTTTATACGACTAGCCCAGGCATATTAATAAGATCAGGAGCGTATAATGACAAATACTTGTCATGACAAACATTTGTCATTATACGCTACTGATAAGATGTATGGATGTTAAACGCTTTTCATTTTATTATATACCTTTCGACTAGAACTCAGTTCTTTTATAAAAATGTTTATAATTACAGTAAAAATCATCCAATTATAAAAACCGATCAGGTGATTTCGATAGGCATATAACACAACTACAATGTTTACACAGTAACCTGACTTTACAACCCAGTTCCAAATTCGTAAACATGCTTGCCAACTTTGAAGTTACTCAAGAAAAGCTGTTTATGTTCGCTAATGGTCACAGTGAAAAGGCTTTTCTTAGTATAGTATTAAATAAATCTAGATAGCAAGGCATCAACTTATTTGCTCTACACTAGGTGGTGTGATAGGTTACCCAGTCTCTTCCCACATAAGGAGCATCTCTCCAAATTGATCCTGCTGTTCAAGAAGCTCTCTATATAAACCTAATGCGCCGTGTGCTACTTGGGCTGCTATCTACAAAAATATTAAAAGATAAATCAAGTTAAAATCATTAAATACTTAGGAAATAATCCTAATTGATTACTTCAAATACAACTTACAACGTAATGCCTGGTAGAGATTTATCAGACAGTAATTTAGAAATTAAGAAATTACTTAAATTAACCCTGTGTTTAAACATCAAAGCACAATGCAGCTTACTTTTCCAACACCCATGTTGAGGGCTGTGTTGACAACGAAAACCATCTTGTACGCTGCTGCATTTGAACTAAGAACTGTGATGTCATCTTCCTCACTGTCATCCTGCATGAATAGTAGTTGGTCAGTCTGTATATTTCACCTTGAGCAAGTTCAGCTCTCTACTCAGAGACATATCTACAATGTTGTACAATATACTGTAAAATTTGGGTCTCAACTCCTCAGAAGTCCGGTGAACTAAGTGGTTGATAACACAAACTAGGTACTAAGCCCCCAGAACTTGTTATACAATGCAACAAACATGAACGAGAGGTCTGGAAAGAGATTAATGATATTATATTGATGATTACTTATGTTTACAAATATATAAAAAATGGTCTAACTTACTTTTATACAAAAAAACATTACCAACTAGTAAATTTACATTCAATTTGATATTACAATAAATATGCAAAATGCATACATCCCACATGCTTTGAATACTTTTCTTTGTTTTTCTTGAATATTTTTTAATGCTACTATGCACAAATTAAAGTGTGTATTGCGAGAATTTTCCAGTGTTTTCCCCACTTTCATGATACCTACCGTTATTGCTTGAGTAACAGCAATTGTCTAGAGTAACAATAAAATGTCTTAGAACCTTCGTATTCACCGGAAACTGCCAGTTTCGAACTAATCGTTTTTGTAAACATTCGTTTTCTGTCATCTTGAACTAACAGGAAGTATGGATTAGCTTCTGGCGCCACCGCTTATCTTCCATACCCACAGTACAGGCACGCACTTGTTTTCAATTCATCACCGACACAAATAAAAGTTTACCAATTCTGCCATTAGGCATTGTCGTGACACGATAAAATGCATTGCTGTTACGATGTGTTCATATCCAATTTTCTATGCTATAACTGCATAAAATCTTAGTATTTTTAATCTTGGTGTAATCAGTGATATTTTCGCTGTCAGGTGAGACTATATTCAGCTATATTTAGTTTTTCTGAGCAAAAATCTCGCAATACACACTTTAAAGGTGCCTTCCCAAGAAATTTCAAGCAGCAACATAAAATCAGGCAAAAATGAATTATTTTAACATGGCACGTTTGTACTTGCCTATATATGTGTCATAGCTAAAAAATGCTCAGGAATACGTTCATTCGAAGCTTTTAGACTACAAAGTGAAAGTGTCGGGTCGAATGTTTCAAACAGCATTTACTTTTGCCGATTTGCGGCGATGTTGTGACGCGTCTCTTGTTGCCATGCAGTGTTGCCAAGCGCTGAAGGTCATGAAGGCTGCATGTGCTCATACGTATTTATGAGTGTTATATGATATCAAGAGCGTATTAAGAATGGTGAGCGAATTCTTAATACGCTCACCGGCTCTTGATGATATCAAGAGCATATAAAGAAGGAGAGCGTACAACGGTAATATGCTGAAACTATGTTGCAGTATTAGTCGAATTAATAAACTGTCCCCGTTTTATTTTGACGATTCCTTGCAGTATTATTGATCAGCTGTCCTACCTTGTTCATATAAAACCAACCGCATGTCCCTACGATGCCCCTACGCTGAGATAATGAGCGGTAAAAATCTGGTATTTTCGCCAAACACCGACTAGACGTTAGTCAGTTACTGTGACCGACTCTCGAAGTGTTATAACTTCGGGAAACCTCGCGTGTTTCCGTCAATGATTGACAAATGGAATGAACGACGTCTGTTATTTATTGCCATAGTGATGACCCCCACCTGTGCCCACCTCACGCCCACCTCACGCTGGATGTATAGTAAACTCTGGTAGTATGACGTGAGTCAGCGCCACCATGGCGCTACACAGCTGCGACCGGAAGCAACACACTGGCCACAGTGTGGGCCGTACACTCCGCCCACACGAGAGAGGGTCGCAGTTCCTAGTCATCTGATTCGGATTTTGGCAAAAAAAAACAGATTTTCACCGCTCATTATCTCAGCGTAGGAGCATCGTAGGGACAAGCAGTTTGTTTTATATGAACAAGATAGGACAGCTGATCAATAATCCTGCAAAGAATCGTCAAAATAACACGAGGAAAGTTTATTAATTCGACTAATACTGCAACATGGTTTCAGCATTTCACCGTTGTACGCTCTCCTTCTTTATATGCTCTTGATGATATCTATGGCTGTGCTGGTTACGTGACCTGCGTCGACTCTTGCCGCCATGATACAGAACCGCGGCGAAAAGCATTTTTCAATTTCTTTTTTCGTTTAGCAAATATAGGCTTGATACATATTTTTATTGTTTTATTTTCAAAGCTAACGTTCAGTTAAAGTGTAGTGAGTTATTTACTTACGTTTTTACAGTGGTTTGTCACAAAAATGTGAATGGGAAGGCATCTTTAATTGGAAGGCACACAGAAAGTGTTATGAGAAT